ACCTACGGTTGAGTGTTGAGGATGTACACTGACCACCTGATCCAGGATGTACAGTTGAGTGTTGAGGATGTACACCGACCTTCTGATCCAGGACCTACAGTTGAGTGTTGAGGATCTACACTGACCTTCTGATCCAGGACCTACAGTTGAGTGTTGAGGATGTACACTGACCACCTGATCCAGGACCCAAGGTTGAGTGTTGAGGATCTACACTGACCACCTGATCCAGGACCCAAGGTTGAGTGTTGAGGATCTACATTGACCACCTGATCCAGGACCTACAGTTGAGTGTTGAGGATCTACACTGACCACCTGATCCAGGACCCAAGGTTGAGTGTTGAGGATCTACACTGACCACCTGATCCAGGACCTACAGTTGAGTGTTGAGGATCTACACTGACCACCATGGTTCAGTTATGAGGACCTACAGTTGTACACTGACCACCTGATCCAGGACCTACAGTTGAGTGTTGAGGATCTACACTGACCACCTGATCCAGGACCCAAGGTTGAGTGTTGAGGATCTACACTGACCACCTGATCCAGGACCTACGGTTGAGTGTTGAGGATCTACACTGACCACCTGATCCAGGACCCAAGGTTGAGTGTTGAGGATCTACACTGACCACCTGATCCAGGACCTACAGTTGAGTGTTGAGGATCTACACTGACCACCATGGTTCAGTTATGAGGACCTACAGTTGTACACTGACCACCTGATCCAGGACCCAAGGTTGAGTGTTGAGGATGTACACTGACCACCTGATCCAGGAACTACGGTTGAGAGTTGAGGATCTACACTGACCACCTGATCCAGGACCTACGGTTGAGTGTTGAGGATCTACACTGACCACCTGATCCAGGACCTACGGTTGAGTGTTGAGGATGTACACTGACCACCTGATCCAGGACCTACGGTGGAGTGTTGAGGATCTACACTGACCACCCGATCCAGGACCTACGGTTGAGTGTTGAGGATGTACACTGACCTCCTGATCCAGGACCTACGGTGGAGTGTTGAGGATCTAGACTGACCACCCGATCCAGGACCTACGGTGGAGTGTTGAGGATCTACACTGACCACCTGATCCAGGATGTACATTGACCACCATGGTTCAGTTATGAGGACCTACAGTTGTACATTTGTGACAGATACAATATTGTACATATTTATTTTATTCAGCTTCAGTATCTGTTTTAAGTGTTCAACTTTTATATTTAATCATTAGTTAAGATAGATTAAATGTAGTTAATGTGTCCTTCATGTTGTAAGCCTTAACAAACCCAAGCCATGACGTGCTCAACTGATTGGCCAAGCTAACCTCCAAAGTTGACCTTTTGTCTCACTGCATGTTCTCAGTCTGCACACATTTCCTGCACAGACAAGTTGACAAGTGATATCATGTAATATCAGGTTAGTTTAATATGTATGTGTATACTTGTATTGTTGTTATTGCAGTTAAATGTTGCAGTATATTAAACCTATAATACTAAACTTAACTAAACATGTTTAATATTATCATATTCTCAGCTACAATCTATTTAAGTAAATGTGGTAAACAAGACTTATAAATTGTAAGCTTTGGTAATTACTAATATATCACTTTTCTGTCTCTTTATTCTTGTATGTATGGGGAAGAATGTATGTGTTGTTTTATGGAATAGGCTATGTTTTAAATGCCTTTGTGATCAGTTCTGTATAATATACAGTCTGTACTATACGGGACCTGGAGAATGTTTTAACGTGTATGTAAATAGTTGTATTAGTCATTGTTATAAAAGTATATGTTTTAGTCAGATATCCGGATTTATAAGTTGTGGCGCTAGTCGGGAAGACACCCCAGTCTCACCCACAGGGTAGGCACATAATAACTTGTATAGTCAGTTTCTATATTTGTGTAACACATAAGTGTGTCACACCCGTAAAGTCATGTATATGTCTATATTTTGAAAGAGATTTATAATCTCTTTACACTTAGATAATTCATGAATAATTATTCTATTTGGTTCTTACATCAGTTAGCAGATTATTGTACAGTATAACAACTAATATATGAATAAGATCTGTTTGTAATGTAAAACGGTTTGTAATACTGTGATGTCGATGACTGCATTATGTTTATTGTTAATATTACTTATCATTCCTTTAATATGTTTCAGGGTGTATATACTAGATAGATAAATATATGACAAATCCATTGGCAGAATAAACGTCTCAACCGTAGCGTGTGTTTGCCTATCACTCATTCAGTGCCCTGCTACACAATGACCACCTGATCCAGGACCTACAGTTGAGTGTTGAGGATGTACATTGACCACCTGATCCAGGACCTACGGTTGAGTGTTGAGGATCTACACTGACCACCTGATCCAGGACCTACGGTTGAGTGTTAAGGATCTACATTGACCACCTGATCCAGGACCTACGGTTGAGTGTTGAGGATATACACTGACCACCTGATGCAGGACCTACGGTTGAGTGTTGAGGATCTACATTGACCACCTGATCCAGGACCTAGGGTTGAGTGTTGAGGATCTACACTGACCACCTGATCCAGGACCTACGGTTGAGTGTTGAGGATGTACACTGACCACCTGATCCAGGACCTACGGTTGAGTGTTGAGGATCTACACTGACCACCTGATCCAGGATGTACAGTTGAGTGTTGAGGATGTACACTGACCACCTGACCCAGGACCTATGGTTCAGTTATGAGGACCTACACTGACCTCCTGATCCAGGATGTACAGTTGAGTGTTGAGGATGTACACTGACCACCTGATCCAGGACCTAGGGTTCAGTAATGAGGACCTACATTGACCACCTGATCCAGGATGTAGAGTTGAGTGTTGAGGATGTACACTGACCACCTGATCCAGGACCTATGGTTCAGTTATGAGGATCTACACTGACCACCTGATCCAGGATGTACAGTTGAGTGTTGAGGATGTACACTGACCACCTGATCCAGGACCTACGGTTGAGTGTTGAGGATCAACACTGACCACCTGATCCAGGACCTACGGTTGAGTGTTGAGGATCTACACTGACCTCCTATTCCAGGACCTACGGTTGAGTATCTACACTGACCTCCTGATCCAGGACCTACAGTTGAGTGTTGAAGATGAAACATAGGTCAGGCCAAACCTATACTATTACACTACACATCGAGGCAGAGCAAACTTTATTTATTAAATCACTGGATCCTGGCATGACAATAGGGATGCTTTTCACCGCAGCTTCTTGGTGCCCTAGACATTTCGTCTACATATGCTCCCACAAGGGATTCATGGAAGTATGATCCGAAGGATAAGGAACGTAGTGTTGAAGGAATGGCCTGCCTTGTGTAAGTACAGTATCTACTGTACCCCTACAGTGTGGGAATCTGATATGCTAATGAGCCTGCCAAACATATTGTCTCACTGTTCAGCAAGCTACCGAACACAGATTACAGACATTCACGTTATCAGTCAACAATTGAACAATAACACCCCATTACTCACCTGGTTGTTGGGGTCAGAATATGTCCCTAGTGTGAGGGGGCAAGGGTCATGTGGTCAGAATATTCTGTAGTGTGTGGGGGCAAGGGTTGTCTGGGTAAGAATATATCCGTAGTGTGTGGGGGCAAGGGTTGTGTGGTCAGAATATGTCCGTAGTGTTATGGGGCAAGGGTCATGTGGTCAGAATATGTCCATAGTGTGTGGGGGCAAGGGTTGTCTGGTCAGAATACATCCGTAGTGTGTGGGGGCAAGGGTCATGTGGTCAGAATATTCTGTAGTGTGTGGGGGCAAGGGTCGTCTGGGTAAGAATATGTCTGTAGTATGTGGGGGCAAGGGTCATGTGGTCAGAATATGTCCCTAGTGTGTGGGGGGGCAAGGGTCATGTGGTCAGAATATTCCGTAGTCTGTGGGGACAAGGGTCATGTGGTCAGAATATTCCGTAGTGTGGTGGGGCAAGGGTCATGTGGTCAGAATATGTCCCAAGTGTGTGGGGGGCAAGGGTCGTGTGGTCAAAATATTTTTAATCTTGGCTATGTTTCCCCTCAACCCTTTGTTTCAACTAAATAATTTATTTGATATGGAAATCCTTTACATATCTCACGCACTAGTTCATTAAAGTTGCCTGGCCTGAGAATATACGGGTGTTGCTTAACTAATTTCCAGGTGTATAGCTGGAATGTAGCTGAGTGCAACTCGACCCAATAGAGTACCGGGGTACTAAAATTTGTACTTTACTGAGAAAGTTTTATCCCAAATATAAAATTTGTCATATGCAATATGCTGTCATACAGCTGTAATATTGCCAAGTGTTGCTTTAAACAAGAAACAAACATAATTACAAGAGGTGATTAAATTATGGTTTGGTGGCCACAACATCTGGAGGAGTGCACGCAAGAACCCTTTGATTGTAGGTTCGCCCCGATTATGTTTTTAGGTTTGTCAGCACAATACCAAAGTGGCAAACATCTAAAACCTGCGTCACTTCGGTTCCCACATTAAGCTGACACATCGTGATGTAATTGGAATACTGTTATAAGCAGCGTTAAACCCAACTACTTCACCTACAAAAACTGGCGAGTGTAAATGAGAAGAAAAATCAGTTGCTCACTTGTCTACCTATCTCCATGCCTTGTCAACATTCCCAAGTAGACATGCATAAATGTTATTTTACACCTGGCATAACTATTCCAGCTATATCCAAATGGCTTGTTCTGGGCCAGGCAAACCAGTGGTTGACAGCATGAACACAATGATACAGGAGCAGCCAGGTGACATTGTAACTACCCAATCCACATTAGGTCAGAATACAACCCCATTGGTAACTGAGTATTGTTTTACTCCGCTTTAAGCAATATTCCAGCAATATCATGGCAGGGGACACCAGAAATGGGCTTCACACACTGTACCCATATGGGGAATCCACCTGGTCTTCAGCGTGACGAGTGAACATTTTGACCCCACCTCCCCTCCTTGGAAACTGAAGACAAAGACACAACATGTACTGTCCTGGTTTATTCTGCCATAACATTACAGGCACTGTCCTAGATACACGTAAGATGAACAGTTGACTCACACGGAGTAAGGCACAGGCTAACACTGCTCTGGGCTTCAATACCTACAGGACTATCACAACATGTGACTCACGGTCCAACCACAGGAGCTCTCATTGATAAACAAATAACTTAGAGCGGTTTCAAGTCCACAGTTGTCATCTTCCCAAGGCAAGGAAGTTATCGACTATAAAAGTCCAGTTTCCACCCTTGGCGAAATAGACGTCAATTATGGCATTATATTTAGGCTGGATGAATGAGTCTATGCAAAATCGTGTTATGAATTCAACATCTGGTTTGTAAACTGCCGTGCAGATTTTAGGTTGATTGCAGGATTTGCAAAGCATGTGTACCGTCAACTTAATAGCATCAATAGATAATTCCCAAATCTATTTTCATGTTTTTAATCAAGGTGTTCACGTGATTTGATGTACTTCTCAAGTAAGACCTTATGATTACTGATCAGATCGTCTTGACTGGGCGGTTCCATTTTGTTTGAAGCAAATGCAAGTGATATGAGAGGTGGAATCTGATTGGTCAATAAGAGGGACATAGAAAGGACATAACTCGTAATAGCCACTGGTGGCGCTACGATTAAACCAAGAAATTCGGGCCTAGTTCGGCAACGGTGGAAACTGGACTTTAACTCCCTTGCCTTGGGAAGATGTCCAGCTGCTAACTGTCAGGTCCCACTTTAACACTACTTCACATACTGGAGACTAAGGACACGTATAGGTGGCAATATACATACAAAAATACATGTGAGCGAGAAAACAACAATTCCTGACAAGCTACTAACACATATGGCAATGGGAACGAGTCTTTCTGTTTCTTCAACCACAACTGTTACTTAATCATTGCAGATCCAACACAAGTTACCTCCCTTTGAATAATCTGATTAATTTTAGTGATGTGATGAAAAGAAAGATAAAAACATTGAATCACTGACATCTGAATTTGTTTGTTCCTGTCCAGTGAAACCTGGCTAATCCAGTCAGAAGTTGGCCTCTGTCAACAGCAAATTGTCAGCTGGAGACTGGTTTCCATACCAACAAGCTCTGGATTCACAAGATTTCTGGATTATCAGGGTTTCAATGTACATGTATCTGCCATAAACCTCAATGTTATGGGGAGAGAGGAAGATGCTATCTGAGAGTGACATCATTGCTGAAGTAGCATTACAGTTTAAACCATTTTGAAAACAGTATTTGATGGGATGATGTCTTATAGATCCAGTTTTTCTTCTAAAACATGCAATACAATATCCCAATACGTGGAACAAAACTTCAGCTGCTTCAAACTCCGCAACTGACATAGACTACTATATATATATATACACACACACAATATGTACATAAATAGCATTGTCAACAATACAAGGAGAAACTGTCCAGATAAAATAAAATGAGGTAAAATGACAAAGAAATTGCAAAAATAACATCATGAGGCAAAGTACTCTGAATATACACTGACAAACTAAAGCCAATATGTCACCTGTCACAATGTCTGTGTTCTAGAGTAAATACACATGCTTGCACTACACAGGTCCACAAATGTCTGATGTCTCCAGCACGCTCACTGTAATGGGCCATAAACAACACAACATGAAGGAGACTTTACAAGGTTTACTGCTGGAAGTCAAACAGTGTGAAAGGAGCATGTCTTTTCACTTACATGTACTTATCAAACCAGACTGAATTATTTACTATTTTAAGTCGTCTATTAAAAACGAAAAAGAACTGCAGAGTTTGACTGAAAGTACCGTATTCGACGTTATAAGCGCCCAAGGCACGTTTTTTTCAAAAGCATGCTTCTGTTTGAATTTTGTAACATTTATTTCAAAATAGATGTGCATGATAAAGCCTCACATCAATTCAGCTAGAGACTACAGATACTAGACTTGGGCTTCAAGCTACTGGTATTAGGCACCGAGTGTATGAAATCTAAGCCTGCAAGACGATTATAACAAAATGTACTCTTGAGCCTTGATGACCACATATTGTTCAATATATTATACAGGTGTCAAGATGGCCGTACATTGAACTTTGCTTTATATTCAAGGTTCCTAGAAATGCTTTCAATAAATATAATATATGTGCTTTTCACATATGAAACATACAGTGAACATAAAAAAACACTTTTCCCACCTTACTTACCCAACTTTCAATAAATATTTATTTGTACATCAACAGCATAATAAACACATGTATAATGGTTTCTTCATCAACATGGATATTTCATTTTGAACATGTTTGAAAACGTCATAAACTGGCCGATTATTTAATAAATAATCAACTTGTCACCTCTTTGCATGATTCCTTTTGTATTAGTCCTATGTGGACATCCATGATTTATCTCATATCCTCCAGGGCTCCGTTCCTCAAAGCGATCTTAGCGCTAAGGTGATTGTAAGTCCCATATAATTTAACGTAGGCTTACGATCATCGTTGTGCTAAGATCGCTTTGGGGAACGGGCCTCAGTTAAACATGAACTCAAGGCCTCCCTATTGCTGTAGTGAACAGTCTATATCCAGGGCCACTTGCACAAAGCGATCTTAGCACTAAGACTATGTTAAAGTATGGGAGTTATGATCATCTTAGCGCTAAGATTGCTTTGAGCAAGTGGGTCCAGAACCCTTGTTACAGACAAGAAATACATTCCAATTTATTTAAAAAAATAAGATACACAGGAAACTGAAATCTTACTTAGCTGTACAAAGGGAGTTTAAGGACAATAATTTCGTTCAGTTGTTGAATCGTTACTGCAAATTTACTTTTTACAGGTTTTAACATGGTAAACAAGAGGTGAGTCTGGGTTGCTGTGACCTGAACATTCACACAACACACAACAGAGATGTTGATCAGTAAACACACAGGTAACCAACACAAGCCTACTCAAGCAGGTGGTATTTGACAGTGCGGACATTATTCATACATTTCTGCAGAAAGGAACGGGTGACTTGAATTGAAAAGCTTCACTTCTGGCTGGTACTCGATCACGTTGATGGGCCTGTAGTGTGACATAATGTTATACAATAGCTTGAGAGAATGCCTAATCAATAACCTATCAGTGATATTGATCACCTGATATATTGCTACATTAGTGAGGGTGAGGAAGGTGGGGATTAGCTACTTTTGTCAGACACCCTTCGTTACCACCTGTCAGTGAATCCCTTATGATTTCATCTCGTCTATGATTTAGTTCAATAATGGGCTTGCCTTCTGTGTGAATATGGTCGTGCAGTGTTATTATTTTGAGTTCACTTGAACAAACATCTGGAATTAAAAATTAAGAATTATAATGTAAAATTTGTGACCGAATAGTATTATGTGTTAGTTGTGTCTCAAAAAAGAAATCACATGGTCACTTGTTACTATGGAAACCTCTTGAATCCATCATGTAACCATGGTAACACTGGGAATATACAATGACATGTTGTCATTTACATATCAATACACGCAAGTGTTTAATAAAGTCACAGCCGCGATAGCTCAGTGAATGGGTTGAGAGAATATTTGGGTTACCTAAAACCTGAAATGTAGATTATTTCTCAACTTTGATTAGCTGACAAGCAATCACACGATGACCGTCAATGAAATTCACACTGGCAACATTTTGAACCCCCCAAAATAGCCATTGGAATCCAAAGAAGTAATATTCAGTTCTTTCAAAGCAGATCTGTATGACAGAAATATTTATGGTTATTAGACAAAGAGTTAGAACTATTGAACATGTCTTTGCTAATTACACAAATAAAGTCATAGATTCTTTTCAGAAGTCAATACTGTAGTCATGAACCTGACAAAAACAATATTGAATATTTGTTTTGTTCAATACTGTATGTAATTGGTCCGTCAAAAGAGATATCGACCTCATTGAAAGTTTCCCTATAGTATAAATTAAGACCTCCTTGACAAAGTCCCCCCGCCCCCCTATGCACCCTCACATGTGTCACAATGCCACAAACCTTTTTCCCGATATTGATTCCAGGAAATAACATTATTGATCAGGTGATGTACGCTGTGTTGAAATATGGAGAATATATTCAGAAATCCTTGTAATGATAAAACTTGGACACCAAACTTGGTCAGGTAAAAAATGCTAAAATATACGAGGTATTACATCCCCTATTGCTGATGAATTATTTGACTAATTGTTTCCAGATAATGTAAAGATCCATACATGATTAGCCCAACACAGCACTAGTCATCACATGAATATATGATCTCAGCTTAGGAAATTACCATGCCAACAGCCATGTGGGTGTGTCACATGAGGCCATCATTTGCCATGACGAACATAATGTTACCCTTTCCTTTATGTTTCTTTAAGTTTTCTGATTGGTTGTGACAAATTCCCACATATCACAAAAGGATAAGCCAATAATATCTTTTCAGTTAGGACTTCTTTTTTTCATTACTTTGTATAAATTTGTTGTTTTAAGACTTTGTTATCGGAGGCAAAAACATAAATTGTTTCAGAGTCCGTGGGAAGAAAAAGATTGCATGAACAATGTATTTTTTGTATTTTGCATTTGTCGAATTTTTGTCTGTTTAAATCAAGGAATTATAAACAAATATGGCCTAGTTGCTAAGATTGATTTTCAGTGAGAAAGAACATCCAGCAGGGCTATATAATTCCACTCAGTACTCTCATAAACAGGCTAGGGTTATTTTCTAATGCTGTGATCTATATTACAAATGTACTTCTAATGAGTCACTAGATTCAGTAACCATGGTACCGGTATGATAAATTTGGGCCATGACATATTATCAAAAATTATCAAAAATTAAATGATACAAGAAATCAATAACAATTTCTCTAATTCTTGTTTTGGATACGCCAGCATGACTCTACTGAGGGGGATACGAACATCGTGATAATACACTTGATGTGACCTCAGGTCATGTAGATGTATTCCTGGACTCAAGTACCGGCATTCCACAAGTTTATGGCTGATGAAGTTATCTATACCTAGTACACAGCCAGTATTTAAAAGATGTATATGTTCTATAGTTGTGGACAGAAATATCAAACATTTGAAAAGGATATCAATTTTTCGGTGTCCCACATGTCACATAGCCCTCTTGTCGTACAGGTGAAAAAGCCCAAAGGGAATGGTTGCTTACCATATATGACAGGGTTAAAAATTAACACCTGCCCGCTAGCCCGAGACAAGTACAAATTCATTCGGGCTAGTACAAATTTTTCCATTGTTTTAACATTACAAAGTCATTTTATCTTTACCAGGGCTAGTGAAGCTTTTGAGTTTAGTTCTAACCCTGATATGACTACTTTATGTCTTTTGTATAAAGTGGTGTGACCAATGTTTTAGATATTTGAATGATGAATCCTGATTTCAAACCTGGACGGATACTAAACAAATACATTCAAACGTCATAGAACCACTTCAACAACAAGCTGAGCATTATAATGTGAGGATGGATCTTATTATTATAGTTATTACCATTGGGGAAGTTATTGAAAAAAACACGTTAAAAATGACACCTTTTAAGGCTGTAACCCTTGGGTGTGCTTGGATCCTGGTAACATAAATGTAAGTGAGACATTCATAAACCAATAGGTTTGAAAAACCTGCTCACATAACGTCCTAACTTACTCCTTTGACTGAAGATCCTGTCGAACCCAAGGGACATAACTCCCTGTATTGAGATTGCTGACAACAACAGAATGATGAATATATATAGAATAATCATGATAACAAAAGAACAAATATATTCATCATGATCATATTACCATGGTAACCAATTACAAACCAAATGAAAATTTATTTAATTACCTGGCATGATATTTCATGTGTTCCCCAAATATATCCCAGTGTTAACTGCTATACATGATATATACAATTATAGAATTAACAGTGACATGTAACGAACATGTTTCATACATGTAGATAAACTATGAAGAAAATGTCCTGCACAAAATCATATATTTTCTTCTCAGACTACTTGCCATGACATGACTCAGCTGAATGCTTTGATAAAATATGACAAGTCTTTGAAAGTATATATTTAATAAATAAAGCATGTAAGCAAAGTTTTTTTTGTCCTTATCCTTATGTTAACAGTATAAGACAAAGAGGTCCCCAGATCTAATACAATAAAAAACACATCATGGCCTGCAAAAATTTGAAAAATAAAATTAAAAAAATGATCATCTAGCTACTTAATGCAATGTCATATTTCACAACACTTGGCATGAAATTGAAGCTAGACCAAAAAGGTTCAAAATAAAAGTATATTCTTTATGAAAGTACTGAGAACCCATGTACATGTACATGATCATCTCAACACTACCATCGGTCCGACCAACAGGGACGAGATTCGACAATTCTTTTAGCACTTCCAGGTATTCGACCTGATCTCATTGTTGAAGCTGCAGATCGCATAGTAGATGCGGCGGAGGCATTAGTTGATCCACTGGTCACACTGCACATGCTCCGTGACCTTTGACTCAGGGTTGACCCTGCTGACCCAGGCCGTGACCTGCGACCTGACTTGAGATGGTCATCTGCGATGGGGACTCCGTACAGCATGGTGCGCTGGTAGTGGCCGATTTGATCATCACGGGACATTCCTCGCGTCGGCTTCACTTTTTGGAGTCGGTGCAAAAATTTCTGAAACACAAACATAATAATTAGTTTTGCAATTTGAAAATCATATTAATACTAATAACTACCATATATGATAAAAAAAGTTAAAACTTCTGGAATATTTCCCATTCCGGCATGGATAAAGTTGAAAGTGTTTTAAGTACTTATCTTGGACTATCATAATGTTGGCTTCATGCTGATTGGCAACTTGGTACAATTGTTCAATTGTTCGCAAAGAGGCACATAGCAACGTGACGTCATATGAACACACTGTCACAAATGACCATGGTGATGTCACAAACCATTAGATGTGAGGTTGTTCAGCGGTAGAAACTAACACTTTGAGTCCACTAGTCCTTATAATGATAACAAATAGTAGAACCCTTATAAATGACAAATTTCTACAAGTCCTTATGATACCTTCACTATTGGGGACTTAGGCAAGGACTATAGTGCCTTTTTCTAACACTGTTGTTCCAACACTAGGATATAGTCCTCCACTTGAGAGGAAACTATCATATTTCGATATTTTCTTTGAAATAAATAAATGATTTCGAGTTAGTTTGTTGTTTAATTCAGCACTCAGCAATAAGCATCGACCTACGCAATTGGGATACAATGACATGCATCAACCAAGTCAGCGAGCCTGACCACCCAAACCCGATACTCGCCTCTTACGACAAGCATACCGGGGTAGTTGCCTTTTACTGCAAGCATGGGTTGCTGAAGACCTATTCTACCCTGGATCTTCACAGAATTAGTGATGACATCAGATATCAATCAATTGTCACACTACCTGCAGGTAACTCATCAGTAAATGCTAATATACTGAACAGCATTGAAAATGCACCACCATGAAAATGGATGTATTTTTATCCGGGCTTAAGTCATATGAAAATATATAAGTGAATGAGTAATATACAACGCTCTGGACGAAGCATGAAGAAGAACAGCTCGTCAAAACACATTCCTAATTTTTTTGTGAGCGTAATTGCCAAAATGCAACAAATTGCGTGCACATCATGGAAAACGTGTTTTGTTTCACGGGAAGCATGCAGAATAGGGCTATAATAGACAGACTTTTTAAAGCCACATCACTTGTTGCTGCAGATGTAAAGGGTACTGACACAAGAAATGCCAAGATTAACAGCAGAGGAACGTGAACGTGCCTTGGGCATGCTTCAAGGTGGTACGTCAAGTAGAGTCGTTGCACAACGGTTTCAATGCCATCATTCAACAGTCCTCAGGCTACTGAGCAGATACCAGCAGACAAGAACCACCAGAGATCGACCAAGTCCAGGTCAACGTCGTGTAACTACACCACGTCAGGATCGCCATATTGTTCGTCGGCATCTTCGTGATTGTACACTTCCGGCTACCAGGACTACAGCAACCGTACAAGGCCGACAGGGTTGGTCAGCGCTGACACCGTACGTCAACGTCTCCGCTCAGCACTAGGATATGCACACCTTCCAGCAAGACAATGCAAGAGTGCACACAGCACGTGTTTCAACACAGTACCTAGCGAACAATAATGTGCCTCTGCTTCCATGGCCAGCCCTGTCACCCGATCTATCGCCAATTGAACATCTATGGGATTACCTGGGTCAACGCCTCTCACGATGTCCGCAAGTACAGAACCTGAGAGAACTTGAAGATACACTACATCAAGAGTGGAATGCCCCAGAACACTATTAGCAGACTTATTAGATCAATGAGAAGACGTTGCATGGCCTGTGTTGCTGCCAATGGCGGACATACCAGATATTGACTTTTCATTTTAACCCTATGTGTCTTCCTTACACTGATGACGTAAATGTAATTACTGTGTGGTATTACTGTTTCCTTTGTCGTCTTTCTTAATAATCAGTCTATGTCTATTCTAATTAAAATCAGTCATTGCTCAAGTTGTTTTTGTAATATTTCAAGATTTATTGCTGGTGCGTTTTCAATGCTGTTCAGTATATTAGCACAACCCTGCCATTGTATTGGATCAGTTACTTAACTCTCTGCCATTGTTTCGCAGTCAGATTATGTGTGCATTCAGGCCTCAGTATCAGAAAAATATACATTACACTGACAGTGTTCCAGACACACTGAACTATTCCAGTCACTATCTTCCAGTTCCAGACATGACCATCACTATCTTCCAGTTCCAAACATGACTATCACTATCTCCCATTTCCAAACATGACCATGACTATCTTCCAGTTCCAAACATGACTATCACTATCTCCCAGTTCCAGACATGACCATGACTATCTCCCAGTTCCAGACATGACCATGACTATCTCCCAGTTCCAGACATGACCACCACTATCTTCCAGTTCCAAACATGACCATCACTATCTCCCAGTTCCAGACATGACCATCACTATCTCCCAGTTCCAGACATGACCATCACTATCTCCCAGTTCCAAACATGACCATCACTATCTTCCAGTTCCAAACATGACCATCACTATCTTCCAGTTCCAAACATGACCATGACTATCTTCCAGTTCCAAACATGGCCATCACTATCTCCCAGTTCCAAACATGACCATGACTATCTTCCAGTTCCAAACATGACTATCACTATCTCCCAGTTCCAAACATGACCATCACTATCTCCCAGTTCCAAACATTACCATCACTATTATCCAGTTCCAAACATGACCATCACTATCTCCCAGTTTCAGACATGACCATCACTATCTCCCAGTTCCAAATATGACCATCACTATCTCCCAGTTCCAGACATGACTATCATTATCTTCCAGTTCCAAACATGACCATCACTCTCTCCCAGTTCCAGACATGACCATCACTATCTTCCAGTTCCAAACATGACTATCACTATCTCCCAGTTCCAGACATGACCATCACTATCTCCTTGTTCCAAACATGACATCACTATCTCCCAGTTCCAGACATGACCATCTCTATCTCCTAGTTCCAAACATGACCATCACTATCTCCAAGTTCCAGACATGACCATCACTATCTCCCAGTTCCAAACATGACCATCACTATCTCCCAGTTTCAAACATGACCATCACCATCTCCCAGTTCCAAACATGACCATCATTATCTTCCAGTTCCAAACATGACCATCACTATCTTCCAGTTCCAAACATGACTATCACTATCTCCAAGTTTCAGACATGACTATCACTATCTTCCAGTTATAAACATGACCATCACTATCTTCCAGTTCCAAACATGACCATCACTATCTCCAAGTTTCAGACATGACTATCACTATCTTCCAGTTCCAGACATGACCATCACTATCTCTCAGTTCCAAACATGACCATGACTATCTCCCAGTTCCAAACATGACCATGACTATCTCCCAGTTCCAAACATGACTATCACTATCTCCCAGTTCCAAACATGACCATCACTATCTCCCAGTTCCAAATATGACCATGACTATCTCCCAGTTCCAAATATGACCATCACCATCTCCCAGTTCCAAGCCAGCCAATACACAAAGAAACAAATCACAAAACGAAAAGAAAATCTACCAGCCCTAAATGGTCTCTTGGCATCATTTGCAGAAGATTTTAGCAGGTGTCAATATATATATGTTTCAGCGGGGCATTGCAGACAAACAATGTTCAGACTTCAGACAAGTTGCTGAATGAGTCACTGACTGTACATGATGTTTCAGTGACAGGAAGGACGCAGCTGTATGTATGACACCGACACAATGGTAGAATATTCACTGATCGATTCAGTGTTTGGAGAAGGGTTTTCATCAATGCCTCCGAGTTCTTGCAAGCCACACACAGCAGGTAATATGAGATTAATCAGGGTGGGTTGGCTTCTTTGTGTAATGGTGTTCGTTCACACACACAGTGACACAAGTGAGGTGAATATACCACCAGGACGGCAACACTGTTGAACAAGCTGTACACCAGGGCATTGTAGCCCAACAGCAATAAAAGCGACAGTCTTTGAATGATCGTGATATGAATACGGACTTGATATTCTTTTCAACAGGCAGCATTTGTTCCAAGTCAGGTGCAGATCTAGAAATGGGTTGATATTTTTGAGAATCTCAAATGATAAACTTACATACACAATTTTGTCAAATCCATATCACAGTTTTATCAGATTGTGAAAGGGATCTAACATGCATTTTTGGGGGTTTATAGGGGTGGTATTTTAGTTTGAGACATCAATATGTTTTCAGTAATACCTTCAAAACATGCAATGTTTTTCTCCTAAAGGTGTGTGTGTGTGTGTGTGTGTGTGTGTGTGTGTGTGTGTGTGCGTGTGCGTGTGCGTGCATCACACTGTACATTATTTTTAGAACACAGCATATCCAGTGAATGATATATATCATTAAGTTGGTGACAAATTATTTCCCCCCCCCCCCCCCATCAATTTTGGGAGGAGATTATTTTTTTCAAATATAATCTGATTTCTCAAAACAAAAATGATATTTTTTCAAACAGAGATCTGTGCTTAAGTTGAGCCCCTTTGTCTGTTGTTTAACACAGCACTCAGCAACACTGCAGCAATGAGACAAGGCAGCATCTTCAGAGGCAATCTACAAGTGTGAGCTGCTGAAGACCTGGGTTCCAATTCCTTATGTGGAATTTGATTCCGGCCATCTCGTACCATGATATGGCAGGGATATACCCAAACAAGACATAAAAAAACTTACCTACTCTCAAAGTTCAAGTTACCTGGAAATAAAGTGGCCCAACTACAAGAATGTCTTTGACCCATCATTGTACTCAGTGAATGGCATTTCTCCCAGGCTAGATAATATGCAGTTGCACAGTTTATAAAAGTTTACCCCCTTTCTTTTTATTGATATTGATGCCCTTTTCTGTATCTGAATATACAGGTTGTGAGGCAGACAATGCATTCAGACTCACTGTGGTCACATGGTCATCATTGTCCTGTGTTCGTGGTGTTTACCGTATTCGACGTAATAAGCGCCCCGCTCTAATAAGCGCCCACGGCGAAATTTGTTAATACACTGGCTAGTGAACAATCCTAATTAGCACCCCTTCCGATTGATA